AATAGACGAATGATTTTCCTCTTAAAATAGTAACTAAAAGCCAACAAATACTGAATGTAAATAACACATAGTTAATAGCAGCATTTGATCGATGAAACAGCGAGTTAAACGTACATTTTTAACGAGAAATAAAACTAATTCATCACCGTCAAATAGTACCTGCCTCACCGCTCAATATATTATGTATGTATCCAAAACTACCACAATGGATTAAACTATTTCCTTGTTGAACCCCAAACGTTAGGGCGTGACGTCAGCTGTGTTTCCGGCACCGCAAATATTATGATAATTCGACCGGACGTATCCGCTGTTGTTCATACAGCAATAGTTTTATCATTTTATGTTTAATATGTTATATGCCCGGTACATAGGGACCCGGGTATCCGAGTTGGATGTGTTCCATGGTGGCCCGGATTTTACGGTTCAATGGATTTCTACGTTTTTAGATATATACATATCGGAGGCAGAAGATTTTTGTTTTGTGTGTATTTGTCGAAGGTTTTGTGGAATATATGTGTACAGCTTTAAAGTATTATTGCTGTTTCCTCGAAAGATTTCTTTGTGGAAATGTAAAAGATACGATTTTAAGCTGTTACAAAGAATTTCGAAGTCAATGCCAAATACATTTACTTCGTTTAGACCGGGGTGGCAATTTTAAACGTCAAAACAAAATATTGAAAACAATGTCAGTCTCTTGGTCAGTCCTCTATTTGCTCGATCCAAGGTGTAGATTCCTCTTTTATTATATCTTTACACATGGCGTGTACAGGCACATATCAAGCTGTACAAAACCAGTATATCGTGGTGTCAATTTGTAAGATCTTTCTGCACATTTAATGGCCAGCTTATACTGGTCAATATAGCTTGATGTGTCACTATAATAATAATATGTACATCATAAATATTCCTGAAATGGGTTGTATATAAAATTTTCCATAAACTTGTTATTAGTTTTTGCTATAGAGCGCGCCCCGTCAAACCACGGGGCCCGAAATCTGTTCTATTAAAATTTTAAATTGAAAAACTTTTATCGTAATTTATTTTAGGTCGCTTTTCGTGTGCATTTTTAAAAGTATTTTAACGGTACTAGGAAATATTAACGGACAAGAGTATTGTACAATTAAAAATAGAACATATTTATGTAGAAAATGGGTTTGACAAAACATACGTACAAGCGATACATACAAAATGATGAGTTATGATTCGTGACCATGGCTAATCCCAATAAGTAGTTCTTAATGTTGTTTATAACTCAATAATGTTTAACTATAATTTCAAAATTACAGTTCGTTTAAGACTCTGAACTTCCAAACGAATCTTTTAGTAAAATCTCAATAGCAGGAAAAAAAATACCTATGCTTAAAAAGCAGTATCATAGCCGATCTGATTCAAACAGTTACTGAGGTTAGACTACAAACGCTAAAAGCTAAACGATAAAATATTAATTGTACCCGTCCATTGACCCCTAAGCCACGTGCAAACATAAAGTTTAGTTTCATTATTATAGGTCGCATGTGCGTGCCGGGCAAGAGGTCTCGGGTTCGATTCCCAGGTTGGGCAAAGTATTACTGGGTTTTTAAAAAAATCTCTTTAGTAGCACGGAGTCTGAAATTGTGCCCGGTATATGACAATAGGCTCACCCCCTATTACATGGGACTCATAACATAAATAGTGAAAAGTGGGTGTTACATTGTACAGTGGCAAATTGTGCCGTAATGCCGTAGTGATAAAAGGCATGATGTTATGTTCTATTAATATAAAAAACTATGTAACTATAAAAACATATTTTTCCATTATACAGAAATAAACACTATACAAAACCAATTTCACTACGGTTTCAGAGCAAAAGCTTTATACCAAAGATCATGTAACACCACACACGATACACAAAACCCTTTGCTTGACCACAATGGGTACTAAAGACCCCTAACCCTGCCTAGAAATGATTTAAAGGGTAATCTTAGTTACCACGGCCATCTAAGGGTAAGACCACAAATGATGGAGAGGTTTGCGAAGGGGTACTGTATGGTCATGGCTCAGTTTCCAAGATGCTAGTTTTTATGGGTGTTTAATTGAGAATGATGAAGTTATTAGGTGCAAGAGTAGGTCTTGAGATGGGTCTAAAGATGGTGGTCCTGTTTTGAATAGAAAAGTCTGATTTAAATTCTTTTTTCGGCTTACTCACGTTGTAATTCTGCTACTGTAGTACTGCTACTGCTACTGGTACAGTAGTACACCGCGTCGCGGGTCGCGAAATGCTGCTCATGAATATGAGCCTCTAGCATGGCTTGAAACTAGTCGAGTTCCTCGTCGAATTACAACGTGAGTAAGCCGAAAACACAATAATTTATTTAGTATGTCTCACGAAAGTTACAATACAAATATTGTATGTGTAGTTTTTGATTTGTTAAGGGTCTTAAGCAGATCATTTTTACAATTTCCGCAATAACTGTACAGTTGGCGCGGTGGCGCAGCACCCGGCTGCCGCGCAACGTGTCGCGGAATAGATTCGAGCACAGAACAACACTTTGTGTGATCCACATATTGTTGTTCCGGGTGTCATGTGTATGTGATCTCGTATGTATGTAAACGGACCCACGAAAAAAATCCCCCTGTAGGGCAACGTTTTTTTTTTCGATAGATATTTGGAGAACAAAGTCAATATTCATGCTTAATACATTATTTTTAAATGCTAGATTAATAATCCTTTCTCTCCATTTTCTTAAGTGTGATAAGGACAATACTAATGTCTTGCTTAGGCATGACAGCGAAAGCAAGACCCTAAAACAAAACACACTAAGCAGGTACTAACTATTTCCAAAAAAGTAGTTTCTCTCTCCTCATTCCACTCTTTAACATAAAAACCTCATTCGAGACCTCCCAGTGAATATTTAAGAGTTGCCACTTCGCTCAAAATATGTCCTTCGTACACACTCATCCTGTATATTATATACAGGGTGTATCTCTCTAGATAACACAACTCCGTTATGAGGGGTACTATGTACCCGAGTCACGTATCCTAAGGGTTTCAGACACTGGAGTTATTATAAAGTCAAATAGACTCCGTATGAAGTTACATGTGGGTAAAAATTGTGGGTAATATGTTGTTGGGGGTGGTAATTATTGGTGTAGGCGGTTTTGGGTTGAGTTTTAGGTTTCTGACAGCGTTTGTAGTTTGGTAATTTTTAGTTCCATAAAAGCTGTGTTATCATTTTATAATATTTAGTTTTTATACTGCTAAAATGCTTTAGTTACAGAACTTTAGAGACCTTGTTAATAGTCGGCGGTATTTCCGAACCGATACGACCTTCAAACCTTCAAGAAAAGAGCGTATTCCATTTTAAAAGGCTGGCAACGCACTTATGACTCTTCTGTCATCGCTTACTATCAGGTGATCTGCTCGTTTGCGTCCTATTCCATAAAAAATATTGTTCTTAGGTGAAATTCTGCTTACTATACAATCGAAAACACTACCATAAGTTACCCGGTAACAAATATAACAATCAAAACACTAACCGACTCCCAAATATATAATTAAAAAACTAATTTCAATCCGTCTACAGTTTGGTAGCACGGTGGTAAACTCAAGCGTCAGTCTAATTCATAATAGTCCAGGAGATAGTAATAGCTCAAGGTGTGACATCTAATCTGTAGTCTAAGAGTCGGCGTATAAATTATTCTCTCTATCTTATACTCGAAGTTTAGTTGATGTTTCAGTTACATGAAATGGTAAATGTTTTGGTAAGTACAAAATTGAAGATGAAAATGATATTGTGAGGTAAGATTAAGATTGAAAATTCAAGTTTAGTAGTTTAATTGAGATATTGTTATTGTTTAGCCACAGAAAACTAATTTACTACTGTTAAACTGATGTACTATGAACATGTTAATAAACGTAGGTAATCTGTTGAAATTTTGAATGAAATCAATCTCATAAAACACTACATTAATATACTTAAAAAAATTATAAAAGTGCACACCAACAACCAAAAAAAAATTCATAACAAAAAACAAGCAGGTTTCGGTGCAAAACTTGAAGCGAAGTTCTTGACATATTTCATATTAGAAGTTGTAAAAATCTTGTTAACCTTACGTGGTTCCTGATATATTTGCGCTCACATCAATATGCTTCGAACTCGACTGTTCATGACAGCCCGCTAATCAAATAGGAATTTGATGGAAAAATCCATTCCTGCCTCTTAGACTATGGATTATCATATTTTGTATGGTAATGGAATTTTCGATTCCCGTTCGCGGAAAGGGGAAGTATTTTTATTGGGTCAGGTTTCACGGGATCCCGTGTTTCGGAAATATGTCCCGATACCCAGAAATTATTGATTGATTTGTTTAGCTAAGATTTTGAGAAGCGTATGAATTATTATGGAGATATTTTATTGAGTTTGTCAGTCATAGAAATTTCACAGAAATTTATTGTTACGTTTCTTGAGTTCGCCGTGTCATCTTTTATTTATAAAATTTCGTTCTTGGATAAATATATTTTTTTTAGTAAACAACGAGAATAGGTATTATTTTTCTTGGAATTGCTTATCAATATTTTCTTAGATATTCTTTTGACGTTTTTGAATTGTTATATAATGAGAGAATGTCAATACAATGTCTAAATCTCAATTTACTTGAAACGCTTATTAATTTTATGAAAAATAATCTGTCATTCGATGTCTCGTTATTTTACGTCGAACGTGGATTGTTTTTTTACAAATAGTAGAGGTATACTGTGAACACGTATTTATGATGAATAGCAAATCTTGTTTTGTTTACATTATTACATAATCTAGTATTTTGTAAAACCTAGTGCTGCAAAAACTAATGTCATTGCATTCTGTCGTACGCTACAGTATTCGAAAACAAACCGTACATTCAGCTCATTAAAGTCACATTTAACTTAACAGCTCTGACTTTTAACAAGATAAACAATCCACTTATCTTCTCTTATTCTACAATCCAACAAAGGAAAATAAACCTTATGTCTATATACTTACATAGCACATTGATAGTGTGTGTAGCGACGACATTTTCCGTGAGCTGTCCATTGATACCGTGGCAGACCACTACTATAGACCTCTTATTGGGTTCCACCACCACTGTTATGTTTGATGTCGTTATCCAACCACCTGGAAACAAAACCGAAATGAATTACTTTGTATAACATAAGTAGCTAGTGAACAGACAGATCGCCTGATGGTAAGCATTGCCCACAAACACTGACTGACTGACTGACTTAACTTCACGGTCGACGCGGTGGCTGGGCAACCGGCGGCCTTGCAACGGGTAGCGGGGTCAGAGCAACTCTTTATGTAATTCACAAATTGTTGTTTCTGGTCTGAGTGTCATGTGTGGTGTGTATGTGTTTTTATATATTTGCAAACGCACCCACGACACAGGAGAAAATTGCAACACCGAAGAACTTATAAGGGGGTGCACGGACTTTTTGGTGGGAACAGGAATCCAGTAATTATTAAGTGTATAAACGAGGAACGATATGAAAGAGAGCGTATTTATAGAAGCTGACAAAGTTGACTAAGATACTACACAATTGCCAAAGATCTGATAGCAGTCTTTGATAAATCTGGACCTGTTACCTGCAATTTCCAATACGCCTATAAAGCGTGGAGATTATGGCAGAACTTATTTTGTAGTGGATGCTATGTAGTTCAGCAGTTGTCTATCATGGGATAATTATTTTTACAACTTTTTGGGCATGTCAAAGAATAATTGTATTTTTGCTGTAGTGATTGGATGAATTAGGTTCAAATTGGTCTAAACGGGATATCTGTCGCATATAGTATCCCAGATATATTTTACACCTAAGTGGATTTGACTTGAGCTTAGTCGAATCAAATTCAATTTGGGAATACTAAATTGTAATTGACGTTAGCGTAAACCTAATTAGAATATGGATGACCTAACGACGTAAGTGGACATTTCTGCGTAACCTTTAGGAAACTAATAGTTTGATGTTGATTCCTCTTATTATTAAAGAGATGCTATTTTGCTAACTCGATACTCTAGCTAGCAAAACCACTACTGCTATTAAACAATTCCCTGGGTCAGTTCCCTGGTTAAGCTAAATACTCCTCAAACGTTCATCTGTACCTAATAGTTCAGGCTTTGGGATTTGTACGACTATAAATTAACGTCTTATTACATGGATCTTATAACGTAGCCAATGAAAAATGAATGTTACAATTAATATGTGCACCTCTGCTTATCCCTTCAGATAATAAATACACATAATATTTTAACATGGTAAGTTACAAAAAACATGAAATTACAAAAACTAAAAGCGTCTCCGAGCTTACACGCTTGCAAATCAATAGTTGTATTGTATTTCATATCAACCTTCCTAGTCCCTCCACTCTTTGTTATAAAGCTCAGGGTTTTATTCTAGCATTCTAGTATATCGGTCAAGGATATTATGTTGCACGTTCTAGTAGGTTCTTTTGTGTTATATCTTTGATATTTTATGCAGATATATGCGTTGGATTTCTTTTGGTATAATCTGCTAAAGTTTGTAAAATAGTTGTTCATATTTTAATGTTTGTTGTTTGTATTTGATGGTAACTAGATTGATGAGAGATTCAAGTTCACTCCTAGATAATTAAGACTGACATAATTATGTCATGTCAAGGATCTCGAGCTGATATTTTGATGTTTTAGGTCCCTCGATAGACAGATGTTTATGTTTATTATTGCTTAATTTTAGTTTCAAATCTTAATATTATCGATATCAGAAGATGAAAACGTTGAACCGACTTAAAAAAAAGAAGGAGGTACTACGTTTGGCTGTTTTTTTTGTTTTTTTTTTTTGTTTACCGATTACTCCACTATTTGTGAACCGATTTCGTTTGTTGTTCGTTTTTTTTTGTTGGCACCGACTTTTTAGACTTGTAACCTATCAGTGGGTGGGTAACCTATCAGTAGTAATAATAGTTATTTTTGAGTTTTTAGTTTTTACTTTTAGTTTGTTATTAGTTTTAGGTTTTTTTATCAATATCACTGTTCAACACATTAATAATTTAAAAAAAACCATCTTTAAATCTATGGCAAATAATTGTATCAAGTAAATCATTTCTTACCTTCGGGAGATATAACAGTTCTATTGCTTGCTTCCTTGTGGTGCTTTCCTAGAACCAGCCACTTGACATCTGCCGCAGGGTTCGATGGTGCTGTGCTACAAGTCAGGGGCACTGGATCCCCGACCCTGGCTTCTGATGGACCAGAGATGGTGACGTGAGAGGGAGCAACTGTAACAAAATGAAGTTCATTATAAAGATTTCATTTGAAATAAACCTATTTACTATAGAATAGAATAAGTTATTTGCAACCTATTTGCAGTAGCCTGGTTGCTTTCGAGAGAGTAATAAAATTATTGAGGATGAATTTGATTTTAGCATTGAGTTAGGTAAATGTTGTAGCAAAATAGATTGTAACAATGAAGTTCAGATCTGCAATGAACTTATTAATGCAGATTAAAGCATTGAGTAGTATTCATAATATACAAATGTACAGGAGTATGCTTTTAAGAATGTAAGATAAGGAGGACCTTCTTTTTGAGGGGGAAAATCATCCAATGACTTCTCCTGCCTTGGGTTAGGTGAGAGGGAGTGTCCAGACTCTTACTGACTAAAAACCACCCCGTTCCTACTCTTGCGCCTCGAGCCGGAGCCCCGGCAACCCGTTAGGCCTTCCGCGGCTCTGTATCGGGCATCAGCCCTACTGGGCCCCATCTGTGGTGGTCTGATGGCTCGTTGAGGCTTGCGTGAAACGCGACGCAAAGATAGGAGTACCCAAGGATATCGTTGTAAATGACACCAAGTGGTTTCTACTTACTCTATGGGACAAATACAACAGTTCACAAAACCATAGGTACTAAACATTAAAACTGTCAACGTTTTAATCCTAGCTCAAATAAAGAATAATGATCAGTACTACAGTCCCTATATTTATGCCCAATTTTCTCTAGAACATAAAACTAATGAAACGAAAAGCAAATATACTAATAAAGACATCTATCCTCAAGCAATGACACAAAGGTGACATTAGAGAAGGATTTGAACTGTCAACACTATATAATATATTATATATACTGAATATAAAAGCCGAGCCTGACGCTGAATAAATCAGATAGGTTCCAATTCTAGGGCATAATAATTTAATGCATGGCTAATATCAAATTAAGGCTCGTAACCACAGCATCATGCAGAATTTATTACAATCTAAAAGCCTGCAACGTTGGGAGTGGAAAATCAAATCAATTGGAAATCTTATTTACTTTGAAGATCGGTATAGATTCTATGAGGATTAGACGTGTTTTGTGTGATATTCTTTCTTTGAAGTTGTATTTAGTTGGTGATAGAAGATATTGGATATGTTATGTTATATGGCTGGATTAGTGACACAAAATGTATGTTAATTATTATGTTTTCGGCTCACTCACGTAACTGTTTGACGAAGAACTCGACTAGTTTCAAGCTAGAGGATCATATTCATGAATCACGGCAGAGGGCGCGTTGTGCCCGCACAGCAGCGAGTAGCCAGTAGCAGCGCGACAGTCGCCGCGTGGCGTAGCTGGCTCTAGCATGGCTTGAAACTAGTTGAGTTCCTCGTCAAATAGTTAGTGAGTAAGCCGAAAACATAATAATTAATTTAGTATGTCTCACGAAAGTTTTATTATAAACAAAAGCTATCTAATATATCGAAGCTACCCGAGCGTACGGCGCGTCGCGTTCCGCGCGCGCCTCAAAGAGCCATCAGACCACCACAGATGGGGCCCAATAGGGACGATGCCGATTCGGAGTCGCGGAGAACCTAACGGGTAACCGGGGCTCCGGCTCAACGTGCAGGAGAAGGAACGGGGTAGTTTTTAGTCAGTAAGATTCTGACTGCTCCCGCCTGGGTGAGCAGTCTTTAGATGATTTTCCCCCCTTAAAAAATATATATATATCGAAGCTAATATTCCCAGACAGATATTTCAAACGTTTCATTTCATAAAGAAATTGTTAGGTACTTAGTTACGTTCAACTGGAAAATTTCACCTTTTTTATATAAATATTTGTCACTCTAATCTATGTTCAGTAATATTACTAAAAGCGTCAGCTTATCTGTAGCCCAATAAATTCTAGTCGCATCCAGTACAACTCTCGACCTCTATGTCATTGGCACACCGATTTACTAGACGGAGTAAAACGTTCTTTAATTTTTTTCGGTATAAACTCACCGATTAATCGGTGCGTAAGAACAAAGTATGCAATTTAATCGACATTTGTTAAAGTCAGTGGGTCTTATGTATGAACAGAATTAATTATTATTATTAACGTTGTTATTTTTATGTTTCCAATCTCAGGTCGTCTGAAAGTCATGAGGACACCTACAGAGAGTACAGAATTAAACCTGAATTAGCTTATAAAATACTAGATCTCTTATTTCGAGTGCAATTTTGTGGTTCTCGAAAATGGATGAAATTCTAATAGCTACTTAAACTATAAAGGATTGAAATATAAATTTCAAATGTCTTAGATGGCGTATTAAGGAATTATTATACTGAAGAATTATAGGTAATTTTGAGCCTCGTTTGAGATGAATTATTTTGAAGAAAATGTATAATTTAATGCCAAATTGAAAGTACACTTAACCGACGAGCATGCATGAAAAGACTTATGACTGTTGATAAAGCGAAAGGGGTATGTAGGAATCGTAGTAATTGGCATTCCATAGTCTGCCTACCCCCATGGGAGACAGGCGTGAAATTATGTATGTATGTATAACTTTAAGATATTACCACCCTTTATTTAACTTGTTATGTATGTATGTATGTGTGTGAAATGAATTTCTACAACTACATTTTGGAGCAGAAACACGTCATTTATTTTTCATGACCATAAATTCTTAGCTGTTGCAATTATACTCAAGATCCAAGCAGTCACCGGTGACCGCTCTCCACTTACACCATTATAGACCTTATTTCCGATGTTTAGAGATCACTTTTACATGAACAAATGTTGTGAGTTTTTCATAATCGGACATTGACGAGTTATAACACTATCCTATTCAATGTAAAATGTTGTCGTGAGAGGTATGCCTACCTAAATATCTCGTAGGTAGGTCTCGTACCTACTTATATATTTTTTATGGCAAATATTTATTGTCTGCCTCTTTGGCAGAGTGGTCGCAAGTGCAACTGCCGGGCAAAGGGTCTTGGGTTCGATTTCCGGGTCGGGCAAAGTATTACTGGGTTTTAAAAAAAATCTTAGTAGTAACACAGAATCTGGAATTGTGCCTGGTGTATGGCAATAGTCTCACCCCCTATTACACGGGACTCATAACATAAATAGTGAAAAATGGGTGTTACATTGTACAGTGGCATTAAGTGCCGTAATGTGCACCTCAGCCTACACCTTCGGGGATAAAGTAATTTTCATCTCACGTGCGTCTATTTTCATACACAAGTCGTTTCCCCCAATAATAAAACTTAGATTGACAATGGATAATACATTATTATTAGATACAAATTATACAAAGACTTTGAAACTAAATCCAAGCATAACTAGCATCGTTACAATACAACTTTTTGCAAAGAAAATTTTAGTTGAGTGTGTATATCGACTTGGAGCTTATCGAAGTAAGAGTTTGAAGTAAAAATACGTTCAGGAAACTTGTGTAGGGCGGCAATGGAAACGGAACAAATTAAAAGTTTTCCTTCTTCGTATAAATGTCAAATAAATTTGAATGTCGATGAGAGTTCGTGATTTATGTTCGTATCGTTGAACTGTATCGGTTTAGGATGTGGTGTTACGTGATTGTAAAAACTGCAGAAGCGAGTTAAACTGTCAAACACCAAGCGGTCACCGGTGACCGCAACCTATTGTTCTATAATTGTGTCTATAATGACGGTACTCGACGAGTTAGTAGTTTGATTGACTTTTTAAATCTCCTTTCACGAAAAATAGATGTTAACCTCCTTGGTATTATAAAGCATTAAAAAAAACTGAATAGTACTTTACGGGACCCGGGAATCAAAGACCAACGAGGCATTCAATAAAAACAAAGTTAAGAGAATATTACTATGACTCATTAATATTCCAATTAATCATACTATCCTGGTATTACATTAATAACTGTACTGTAAGCTTTTCAAGACTTCAGTTAAGAGAAAAATAATAATATTATCATCTAATAAATTATCATAATAATACTGTTTTTATTCATTAAGTTAAAAACTCAATTTGTGCACTCCCAACACTATCACAGACATTACTTTGACTACAAAATAACTTGACAAAATAACTCGGCATCACTATTTGACAAAGGTTTAATTTTTAAACAATAATCTCCAAAATATGTGCCAAGCGTGGAGATTATAAACAAACTCCCCTATTATATTGATCACTTTGTTTTTCGTACACACGTAACTGTTTGACGAGGAACTCGCCTAGTTTCAGGACGTACTAGAGGCTCATATTCATAAGTAGCATTCCGCGCCGACTGTCACCGCGTCGCCTTTAAATATGTGTCTATAAGTTATAATATAAAACCCCTCTCCTGATGTGACAGTAAACATCTCTTGACGATATTGACTACTTATCGACCACTTTCCATCGTAATCTATATATACATAGTATATATAAAAATCAATCCCTTTTACCCTTGATCACGGCAACACGCGTGAGTGACTGGACCGATTTCAGTAATATTTTTTTTTTATACCACGACGGTGGCAAAAAAGCACACGGCCCACCTGATGGTAAGCGGTTACCGTGGCCTATGTACGCCTGCGACACTTGGGGCATTACATGCGTCTTGCCGACCCTTAAGAAACCTATTCACCGCCTTCTTGAAGAACCTCATGTTGTAGCCCACTGGGAAAACCACGGCAGGGAGCTCATTCCACAATCGGAGGGTTTTTCTTTTTCTTGTATTTGTTATTATTAGGAGAAGGTTCTTAGGAGAGAAAAAATCCTGAAAATCTTACGGGAACGGGAGAAAACGGAATTGTGCGTACGAAGTCGTGGGCAGAAGGTAGTCCGAAATAATTCGAACGGGAATGACCCTAGCCGAAACTTCTAATACTCCGAAAATCAACGATATAAGGATTACTATCAACTAGTAGGAAACTAATCAGTATTAATTGGCTTTTACCTACCCTCTGTGAGATAAAGGAGTGAGTGATACGTAATTGACTTTAGGTGCCTTTGCTAACTGGTCATTATCTAATCGGCGATATACTAATGAATTAGTTACTGTTATA